CCTGAAATCGCCCAAAATCTTCAATTCAGGGTTATGGAAAGCTAAAATCTTGAAATCGGTTAAAATGCTGAATTTAAGATTTTGGAAAGCTAAAATCTTGAACTCGGCCAAAATCTTGAATTCAGGGTTTTGAAAAGTTAAAATCTTCAAATCGGCCAAAATCTGGAACTGAGTTTTTTATAAAGCTGAAATCTTATAATGGGCCAAAATCTTGAATTTCGTATATTGGAAAGCTAAAATCTTGCAAACGGCAAAAATCTGGAATTCGCGATTTTGGAAAGCTAAAATCTTGAAATCATCCAAAATCTTGAATTTATTATTTTGGAAAGCAAAAATCTTAAAATCGGCCAACATCTGGAATTCAGGATTTTGGAAACCTAAAATCTTAAAATCAGCCAAAATCTCGAAGTAAAGATTTTATAAAGCTAAAATCTTAAAATCGGCCAAAATCTTGTATTCCGGACTGTGGAAATCTAAAATCTTGAAGTCAGGATTTTGGAAAGCTAAAATCTTTAAGTCGGCCAAAATCTTCAATTCAGGATTTTGGAAAGCTAAAATCTTAAAATCGGCCAAAATCTTGAATTCTGGATTAAGGAAAGCTAGAAGATGGAAATGGGCCTAAATCTTTAATTCAGGATTTTGAAAGCTAAAATCTTGAAATCGCCCAAAATCTTCAATTCAAAATTTTGGAACGCTAAAATATTGAACTTGGCAAAAATCTTGAATTCAGGATTTTGGAAAGCTAAAATCTAGAAATCGGCCAAAACCTTGATTTCAGGATTTTGGGAAGCTAACTTTTTGAAATGGGCCATGATCTTGAATTCAGGAATTTAAACAGATAAAATCTAGAAATCGTCCTAAATTTTAATTTCGGGATTTTGCAAAGCTACGATCTTAATATGGGCCAAAATATGGAATTCAGGATTTTGGAAAGCTAAAATCTTCAAATCGGCCAAAAGCTGGAAATTAGGATTTTATAAAGTTAAAATCTTATAATGGGCCAAAATCTTAAATTAATTATTTTGGAAAGCTGAAATCTTGAACTAGGCCAAAATCTTGAATTCAGGATTTTGGAAAGCTAAAATCTTTAAACCGGCCAAAATCTGGAACTTAGGATTTTATAAAGCTAAAATCTTATAATGGGCCAAAATCTTGAATTCAGGATTGTGGAAAGCTAAAATCTTGAAATCGATTAAAATGGTGAATTTAAGATTTTGGAAAGCTAAAATCTTGAACTTGGCAAAAATCTTCAATTCAGGATTTTGGAAAGCTAAAATCTTCAAATCGGCCAAAAGCTGGAAATTAGGATTTTATAAAGTTAAAATCTTATAATGTGCCAAAATCTTAAATTCATTATTTTGGAAAGCTAAAATCTTGAAATCGCCCAAAATCTTCAATTCAAAATTTTGGAACGCTAAAATCTTGAAATCGGCAAAATTCTTGAATTCAGGATTTTGGAAAGTTAAAATCTAGAAATCGGCCAAAACCTTGCTTTCAGGATTTTGAAAAGCTAAGATATTGAAATGGGACAACATCTCGAAATCAGGAATTTAAAAAGCTAAAATCTTGAAATCAGCCAAAATTTTGAATTCAGGATTTTGCAAAGCTAAAATCTTGAAATGGGCCAAAATGTGGAATTCAGAATTTTGGAAAGCTAAAATCTAGAAATCAACAAAATCTTGAATTGAGGATTTAGGAGAGCTAAAATCTTAATATCGCCCAAAATCTTGAATTCAGGATTTTGAGGAGCTAAGATCTTCAAATGGGCTAAAATCTTCAATAGAGGCTTTTGGAAAGCTAAAATCTTAAATTAGGGCACAATCTTGAATTCAACTTTTTGGAAAGCTAAAATCTTGAAATGGGAAAAATCTTCAATTTAAAATTTTGGAGCGATCAAATCTTGAACTCGGCAAAAATCTTGAATTCTGGATTTTGGAAAGCTAAAATCTAGAAATCGGCCGAAACCTTGATTTCAGGATTTTGGAAAGCTAAGATTTTGAAATCGCTCAAAATCTTGAATTCAGGATTTTGGAAATCTAAAATCTAGAAATCGGCCAAAATCTTGAATTCAGGGTTTTGGAAAGCTAAGATTTTAAAACCGCTCAAAATCTTCAATTCAGGATTTTGGAAAGCTAAACTCTTGAAATCGGCCAAAATGTTGAATTCAGGATTTTGGGAAGCTAAAATCTTGAAATCGGCCAAAATTTCAAATTTACTATTTTGGAAAGCTCAAATCCCTAAATCGGCGAAAATCTTCAATTAAACTCTTTGGAAAGCTAAAATCTTGAGATCGGCCTAAATCTTGTATTCAGCATTTAGGAAAGCTTAAATCTTGAAGTCGGCCAAAATCTGGAATTCAGGACTCTGGAAAGCTAAAATCTTAAAATCGGCCAAAACTTTGAATTCAGGATTTTGGAAAGCTAAGATCTTGAAATGGGCCAAATTCTTGAATTCACAATTTAGGAAAGCTAAAATCTTGAAATCGGCCACAATCTTGAATTCAGTATTTTGGAAAGCTAAAATAGAGAAATCGGCCAAAGTCTTAAATTCAGGATTTTTGAAAGCTAAAATCTTGGACTCGGCCAAAACCTTGAATTCAGGATTCGGTAAAGCTAAGGGCTTGAAATCGGCAAAAATCTTGAATTCAGGATTTTGGAGAGCTAAGATCTTCAAATGGGCCAAAATCTTCAATACAGGATTTTGGAAAGCTAAAATCTTGAATTCCGCCAAAATCTTGAATTCAGGATTTTGGAAAGCTAAAATATTAAAATGGTCCAAAATCTTGAATTTATGATTTTGAAAAACTAAAATCTTGAAACTGGCCAAAATCTTGCATTCTGGATTATGGAAAGCTAAAATCTGGAAATGGGCCAAAATCTTGAACTTGGCCAAAATCTTGAATTCAGGATTTTGGGAAGCTAAAACCTTTAAATCGGCAAAAATCTAGAATTCAGGATTTTGGAAAGAAAAAGATCTTCAAAATCGACCGAAATCTAGAATTTAGGATTTTGGAAAGCTAGAATCTTGAAATCGCCCAAAAATCTTCAATTGAGGATTTTGAAAGCTAAAATTTTGAAATCGCCAAAAGTCTTGAATACAGGATTTTCCAAAGCTAAAATACTGAAATCGGCCAAAATCTTGAATCAGGATTTTGGAAAGCTAAAATTTTCAACTCGGCCAAACTGTCGAATTCAGGATTTTGGAAAGCTAAAATCTTGAAATCGGCCAAGATCTTGAATTTAGGATTTTCCAAAACTAAGATTTTGAAATCGCTTAAAATCTTGGATTCATAATTTTGGAAAGCTAAAATCTTGAAATCGACCAAACGCTGGAATTCAGGATTTTGGAAAGCTAAAATCTTAAAATCGGCCACCATCTGAAATTCAGGATTTTGGAAAGCTAAAATCTTGAAATCACCCAATATCTTAAATTCAGGATTTTGGAAAGGTAAAATCTTGAACTCGGCCAAAACCTTGAATTCAGGATTTTGGAAAGCTAAAATCTTGAAATCGGCCAAAAGCTTAAATGCATGATTTTGGAAAGCTAAAAACTTAAATTTGGCCAAAATCTTCCATTCAGGAGTTTGAAAAGCTGAAGTTTTATAATGGGCAAAAATCGTCAATTAAGGACTTTGGATAGCTATAATCTTAAATTCAGGATTTTGGAATCTAAAATCTCTAAATCGGCCAAAATCTTGAATTCAGGATTTTGGAAAGCAAAAATCTTGAAATCGGACAAAATTTTTTATTCAGGATTTTGGGAAGCTAATATCTTGAACTCGACCTAAATCTGGAAATAAGGATTTTGGAAAGCTAAAATCTTAAACTCGGCCAGAATCTTGAATTCAGGATTTTGAAAAGCTAAAAGTGTCAAATCCGCCATAATCTTGAATTCAAGATTTTGGAAAGCTAAAACCCTGAAATCGGCCAAAATCTAAAATTCAGGATTTTATAAAGCTGAAACTTTAAATCGGCCAAAATCTGAAATCCAGGATTTTGCAAAGCTAAAATCTTGAAATCGGCAAAATCTTGAATTGAGGATTTAGGTAAGCTAAAATCTTGAAATTGGCCAAAATCTTGAATTCAGGATTTTGGAAAGCTAAAACCTTAAAATCGGCTAAAATCTTGAATTCAGGATTTTGGAAAGCTAAAATCTTGAAATCGACCAAAATCTTGAATTGAGGATTTTGGGTAGCTAAAATTTCGAGATCTGCCAAAATCTTGAATTCACGATTTTGGAAGGCTAAAATCCTGAAATCGGCCAAAATATTGAATTCAGGATTCTGGAAAGCTAAACTCATGAACTTGGCCAAAATCTTGAATTCAGGATTTTCGAAAGCTACAATCTTAAAATCGGCCGTAATCTTGAATTCAGGATTTTCGAAAGCTTAACTCTTGAAATAGGCCAAAATCTCGAATTAACGATTTTCGAAAGCTAAAATCTTGAAATCGACCAAAAATTGTGAATTAAGGATTTTGGGCAGCTAAAATTATAAACTCGGCCAAGATCTTGAATTCAGGATTTTGAAAAGCTAAAATCTTGAAATCGGCCAAAATCTTGAATTCAGGATTTTGGAAAGCCAAAATCTTGAAATCGCCTAATATTGTGAATTAAGGATTTTGGAAAGCTAAAATCTTGAAATCGACAAAAACCTTGCATTCACGATTTAGGAAGGCTAAAATCTTAAAATCGGCCAAACTCTTGAATTCAGGATTTCGGAAAGCTAAAGTCTTGAATTCGGCCAAAATCTGGAATTCAGCATTATGGGAAGGTAAAATCTTGAAATCGGCCTAAATCTGGAATTGACGATTTTGGAAAGCTAAAATCTTAAAATCGGCTAAAATCTTAAATTCAGGATTTCGGAAAGCTAAGATTTTGAAATCGCACAAAATCTTGAATTCCGGATTTTCGAAAGCTAGGATCTTAAAATGGGCAAAATCTTGAATTGAGGATTTTGGAAAGCTTAGATCTTGAAAACGGCCAAAATGTAGAATTCAGCATTTTGGAAAGGTAAAATCTTGAAATCGGCCAAAATCTTAAATTCAGGATTTTCGAAAGCTAAAATATTGAAATCGGCCAAAATCTTAAACTCAGGATTTTGGAAAGGTAAAATCTTGAAATCGGCCAAAATCTGGAATTCAGCATTTTGGAAAGGTAAGATCTTGAAATCGGCCAAAAATCAAGAATTGATGATTTTCGAAAGCTAACATCTTGAAATCGGCTAAAATCTTAAATTCAGGATTTCGGAAAGCTAAGATTTTGAAATCGCACAAAATCTTGAATTCAGGATTTTGGAAAGCTAAAATCTTGAAATCGGCCAAAATCTTGAATTCAAGGTTTTTCCTAAGCTAAAATTATGAACTCGGCCAAAATCTTGAATTCAGGATTTTTGAAAGCTAAAATCTTGAAATCGGCCAAAATCTTGAATTCAGGATTTTCGAAAGCTAAAATCCTGAAATCGGCCAAAATATTGAATTTATGATTCTGGAAAGCTAATCTCATGAACTCGGCCAAAATCTTGAATTCAGGATATTCGAAAGCTACAATCTTGAAATCGGCCGAAATCTTGAATTAAGGATTTTGGAAAGCTAAAATCTTTAAATCGGCGAAAATCTTGAATTCAGGATATTGGAAAGCTTAAGTCTTGAAATAGGCCAAAATCTCGAATTAACGATTTTGGAAAGCTAAAATCTTGAAATCGGCCAAAAATTGTGAATTAAGGATTTTGGGAAGCTAAAATAATGAACTCGGCCAAGATCTTGAATTCAGGATTTTGAAAAGCTAAAATCTTGAAATCGGCTAAAATGTTGAATTCAGGATTCTGGAAAGCTAAACTCATGAACTCGGCCAAAATCTTGAATTCAGGATTTTGGAAAGCTACAATCTTGGAATCGGCCAAAATCTTGAATTCAGGATTTTGGAAAGCTAGCATTTTGAAATCGCACAAAATCATGAATTCAGGATTTTCGAAAGCGAAAATCTTGAAATCGGCCAAAATCATGAATTCAGGTTTTTGGAAAGCTAAAATCGTGAAATCGGCCAAAATCTTGAATTCAGGATTTTGGAAAGCTAAAATCTTGAAATCGGCCAAAATGTTAACTTCATGATTTTGGAAAGCTAAGATTTTGAAATCGGCCAAAATCTGGAATTCAGCATTTTGGAAAGCTAAAAACTTGAAATCGCCAAAAATGTTAAATTCAGGATTTTGGAAAGCTAAAATCTGGAAATCGGGCAAAATCTGGAATTCAGCATTTTGGAATGGTAAAAACTTGAAATCGGCCAATATCTTGAATTCAGGATTTTGGAAAGCTAAAATCTTAAAACCGGTTAAAATCTTGAATTCAGGATTTTGGAAAGCGAAAATCTTGAAAACAGCAAAAATCTTGAATTCAGGATTTTGAAAAGCTTAAATCTTGAAATCGGGAAAAATCTGGAATTCAGGATTTTATAAAGCTGAAATCGTGAAATCGGCCAAAATCTGGAATTTCTGCATTATGGAAAGGTAAAATCTTCAAATCGGCCTAAATCTGGAATTGAGGATTTTGGAAAGCTAAACTCTTGAAATCGGCCAAAATCGTGAATTCAGGATTTTGGAAAGCTAAAATCTTGTAATCGGCCAAAATCTTGAATTCAGGATTTTGGAAAGCTAAAATCTTGAAATCGGTTAAAATCTGGAATTAAGCATTTTGGAAAGGTAAAATCTTGAAATCGGCCAAAGTCTTGAATTTAAGATTTTGGAAAGCTAAAATCTTGAAATCGGCCAAAATCTTCAATTCAGGATTTTCAAAAGCTAAAACTTGAAATCGGCCAGAATCTTGAATTCAGGATTTGGAAAAGCTAAAATACTGAAATCGGCCAAACTCTTGAATTCAGGATTTTGGAAAGCAAAAATCTCTAAATCGGTAATAATCTGGAATTCAGCATTTTGGAAAGGTAAGACCTTGAAATCGGCCAAAATCTTGTTTTCAGGATTTTGGAAAGCTAAGATTTTGAAATCGCACAAAATCTTCAATTGCAGATTTTCGAAAGTTAGGATCTTGAAATGGGCTAAATCTTGAATTCAGGATTTCGGAAAGCTAAAATCTTGAAATCGGCCAAAATCTTGCATTTAGGATTTTGGAAACCTAAAGTCTTGAGAACGGCCAAAATCTTGAACTCAGGATTTTGGGAAACTAAGATTTTGAAATCAGCCAAAATCTGGAATTCAGCATTTTGGAAAGGTAAAATCTTGAACTCTGGATTTTGGAAAGCTAAAATCTTGAAATCGGCCAAAATTTTGAATTTAGGATTTTGGAAAGCTTAGATCCCTAAAACGGCTAAAATCTAGAATTCAGCATTTTGGAAAGGTAAAATCTTGAAATCGGTAAAAATCTTAAATTCAGGATTTTCGAAAACTAAAACATTGAAATTGGCCAAGATGTTCAATTAAGGATTTTGGAAAGCCAAAATCTTGAAATCGGCCAAAATCTTAAACTCAGGATTTTGAAAAGGTAAAATCTTGAAATCAGCCAAAATCTGGAATTCAGCATTTTGGAAAGGTAAGATCTTGAAATCGGCCAAAATCAAGAATTGATGATTTTCGAAAGCTAAAATCTTGAAATCGGCCAAAATCTTAAATTCAGGAGTTCGGAAAGCTAAGATTTTGAAATCGCACGAAATCTTGAATTCCGGATTTTCGAAAGCTAGGATCCTGAAATGGGCAAATTCTCGAATTGAGGATTTTGGAAAGCTCAAATCTTGAAATCGGCCAAAATCTTGAATTCAGGATTTTGGAAAGCTAAAATCTTGAAATCGGTTAAAATCTGGAATTAAGCATTTTGGAAAGGTAAAATCTTGAAATCGGCCAAAGTCTTGAATTTAAGATTTTGGAAAGCTAAAATCTTGAAATCGGCCAAAATCTTCAATTCAAGATTTTGAAAAGCCAAAACTTGAAATCGGCCAGAATCTTGAATTCTGGATTTTGAAAAGCTAAAATACTGAAATCGGCCAAACTCTTGAATTCAGGATTTTGGAAAGCAAAAATCTCTAAATCGGTAATAGTCTGGAATTCAGCATTTTGGAAAGGTAAGACCTTGAAATCGGCCAAAATCTGCAATTGAGGATTTTGGAAGGCTAAAATCTTGAAATTCGCCAAAATCTTGAAATCAGGATTTTGGAAAGCTAAAATCTTGAACTCGGCCAAAAGCCTTAATTCAACATTTTTGGAAAGCTAAAACCTTGAAATCGTCCAAATCTGGAATTCAGGATTTTGGAAAGCTAAAACCTTGAAATCGGCCAAAATCTTGAATTCAGGTTTTTCGAAAGCTAAAATCTTGAAATCGGCCAAAATCTTCAATTAAACATTTTTGGAAACTTAAAATCTTGAACTCGGCCAAATATGGAATTCAGGATTTTGGAAAGCTAAAACCTTGATATCGGCCAAAACCTTGAATTCAGGATTTTGGAACGCTAAGATCTTGAAATGGGCAAAATGTTGAATTCTGGATTTCGAAAAACTAAAATCTTCAAATCGGCTAATATCTGGAATTCAGCATTTTGGAAAGGTACAATCTTAAAATCGGCAAAAAACTGGAATTGAGGATTTTAGAAAGCTAAAATCTTAAAATCCGCGAAAATCTTGAATTCAGGATTTTGGAAAGCTGAGATTTTGAAATCGCACAAAATCTTCAATTGCGGATTTTCGAAAGCTAGGATCTTGAAATGGGCAAAATCTTGAATTCTGGATTTTGGAAAGCTAAAATCTTGAACTCGGCGAAAATCTTGAATTCAGGATTTTGGAAAGCTAAAATCTTGAAATCGGCCAAACTCTTGAATTCAGGATTTTGGAAAGCTAAGATTTTGAAATCGGTAAAAATCTTTAATTCAGGATTTTGGAAAGGTAAAATCTTAAAATCGGCCAAAATCTGCAATTGAGGATTTTGGAAAGCTAAAATCTTGAAATTGGCCAAAATCTTGAATTCAGCATTTTGGAAAGGTAAAATCTTGAAATCGGCCCAAATCTGCAATTGATTATTTTAGAAAGCTAAAATCTTGATATCGGCCAAAATCTTGAATTCAGGATTTTGGAACGCTAAGATCTTGAAAACGGCCAAAATCTTGAATTCAGGATTTTCGAAAGCTAAAATCTTGAAATCGGCCAAAATCTTGAATTCAGGATTTTGGAAAGCTTAAAACCTTAAATCGACCAAAATCTTGAATTCAGGATTTTGGAAAGCTAAAATCTTGAAATCGGCGGAAATGTTAAATTCAGGATTTTGGAAAGCTAAAATCTTGAATTCGGCGAAACTCTTGAATTCAGGATTTTGGAGAGCTAAGATCTTGAAAACGGCCCAAAACTTGAATTCAGAATTTTTGAAAGCTAAAATCTTTAAATCGGCCAAAATCTTGAACTCACGATTTTATAAAGCTAAAATCTTATAATGGGCCAAAATCTTGACTTCAGGATTTTGGAAAGCTAAAATCTTGAAAACGGCAAAATCCTGAATTCAAGATTTTGGTAAACTAAAATCTTTAAATTGGCCAAAATCTGGAATTCACGATTTTGGGAAGCTAAAATCTTGAAATCATCCAAAATCTTGTATTCAGGATATTGGAAAGCTTAAATCTTTAAATCGGCCAAAATCTGGAATTCAGGATTTTGGAAACCTAAAATCTTAAAATCGGCCAAAATCTCGAGGTCACGATTTTATAAAGCTAAAATCTTGAAATCGGCCAAAATCTTGAATTCAGGATTATGGAAAGCTAAAATCTTGAAGTCGGCCAAAATCTTCAATTCAGGATTTTGGAAAGCTATAATCTTGAAATCGGCCAAAATCTGGAATTAGGGATTTTATAAAGCTAAAATCTTGAATTGGACCAAACTCTTGAATTCTGGATTATGAAAGATGAAATATGGAAATGGGCCATAATCTTGAATTCAGGATTTTGAAAGCTAAAATCTTGAATTCAGCGAGAACTTGAATTCAGGATTTTGGAAAGATAAAATCTTAAAATCGGCCAAAATCTTGAATTCTGTTTATGGAAAGCTAAGACCTTGAAAGATCGGCCAAAATCTTGAATTCAGGATTTTGGAAAGCAAATATCTCGAACTTGGCCTAAATCTTGAATTCAGGATTTTGGAAAGCTAAAACCTTGAAAAATCGGCCAAAATCTGGAAGTCAGGATTTTACAAAGCTAAAATCTTAAAATCAACCAAAATCATGAATTCAGGATTATGGAAAGCTAAAATCTTGAACTCGGCCAAAATCTTGAATTTAGGATTTTTTAAAGCTAAAATCTAGAAATCGGCTAAAATCTTGAATTCAGGATTTTGTAAAGCTAAAATCTTGAAATCCGCCAAAATCTTCCATTTAGAATTTTGAAAAAAAGAAATCTTATAATGGGCCAAAATCTAGAATTAAGGACTTTAAAAAGCTATAATCTTGAATTCAGGATTCTGGAAAGCTAAAATCTTCAAACCGACCAAAATCTTGAATTCAGGATTTTGGAAAGCTTAAAGCTTGAAATCGGCCAAAATCTTGAATTCATGATTTTTGAAAGCTAAAATCTTGAAAACGGGCAAAATCTTGAATTCAGGATTTTGGAATGCTAAAATCTTTAAATCGGACAAAATCTTAAATTCAGGCTTATGGAAAGCTAAAATCTTGAAATCGGTTAAAATGTTAAATTTAAGATTTTGGAAAGCTAAAATCTTGAACTCGGTCAAAATCTTAAATTCAGGATTTCGGAAACCTAGAAACTTGAAATCGGCCAAAATCTTGAATTCACGATTTTGGAAAGCTAAAACCCTGAAATCGCCCAAAATCTTCAATTCAGGGTTATGGAAAGCTAAAATCTTGAAATCGGTTAAAATGGTTAATTTAAGATTTTGGAAAGCTAAAATCTTGAATTCAGGATTTTGAAAAGCTAAAATCTTCAGATCGGCAAAAATCTGGAACTGAGTTTTTTATAAAGCTAAAATCTGATAATGGGCCAAAATCTTGAATTTCGGATTTTGGAAAGCTAAAATCTTGAAAACGGCAAAAATCTGGTATTCGCGATTTTGGAAAGCTAAATTCTTGAATTCAGGATTTTGGAAAGGAAAAATCTTAAAATCGGCCAAAATCTGGAATTCAGGATTTTGGAAACCTAAAATCTTAAAATCGGCCAAAATCTCGAAGTAAAGATTTTATAAAGCCAAAATCTTAAAATCGGCCAAAATCTTGAATTCCGGATTTTGGAAAGCAAAAATCTTGAACTTGGCCTAAATCTTGAATTCAGGATTTTGGAAAGCTAAAACCTTGAAATCGGCCAAAATCTGGAAGTCAGGATTTTATAAAGCTAAAATCTTAAAATCGGCGAAAATCTTCAATTCAGGATTATGGAAAGCTAAAATCTTGAAATTGGCCAAAATCTTGAATTTAGGATTTTTTAAAGCTAAAATCTAGAAATCGGCCAAAATCTTGAATTCAGGATTTTCGAAAGCTAAAATCTTCATATCGGCCAAAATCTTGAATTCAGGATTTTGTAAAGCTAAAATCCTTAAATCGGCCAAAATCTTCCATTTAGGATTTTGAAAAACAGAAATCTTATAATGGGCCAAAATCTAGAATGAAGCACTTCAAAAAGCTATAATCTTGAATTCAGGATTCTGGAAAGCTAAAATCTTCAAATCGACCAAAATCTTGAATTCAGGATTTTGGAAAGCTTAAAGCTTGAAATCGGTCAAAATCTTTAATTCATGATTTTAGAAAGGAAAAATCTTGAAATCGGTCAAAATTTTGTATTCTGGATTTTGGAAAGCTATTATCTTAAACTCGACCAAAATCTGGAATTCAGGAATTTGGAAAGCTAAAATCTTAAAATCAGCCAAAATCTTGAATTCAGGATCTTAGAAAGCTAAAATCTTTAAATCGGACAAAATCTTGATTTCAGGATTATGGAAACCTAAAATCTTGAAATCGGTTAAAATGTTAAATTTAAGATTTTGGAAAGCTAAAATCTTGAACTCGGTCAAAATCTTAAAGTCAGGATTTCGGAAACCTAAAAACTTGAAATCGGCCAAAATCTTGAATTCACGATTTTGGAAAGCTAAAACCCTGAAATCGCCCAAAATCTTCAATTCAGGGTTATGGAAAACTTAAATCTAGAAATCGGCAAAATCTTGAATTGAAGATTTAGCAAAGCTTAAAACTTGAAATCGGCCAAAATCTTGAATTCAGCATTACGGAAAGCTAAAATCTTAAAATTGGCCAAAATCTTGAATTCAGCATTTTGGAAAGCTTAATCTAGAAATCGGCCAAAATCTTGAATACAGGATTTTTGAAAGCTAAAATCTTGAAAACGGGAAAAATCTTGAATTCAGGATTTTTGAAAGCTAAAATCTTGAAAACGGGCAAAATCTTAAATTCAGGATTTTGGAAAGCTAAAATCTTGAAATCGGCCAAACTCTTGAATTCAGGATTATCGAAAGCTAAAATTTTGAAATCGGTTAAAATGTTCAATTTAAAATTTTGGAAAGCTAAAATCTTGAAAACGGGCAAAATCTTAAATTCAGGATTTTTAAAAGCTAAAATCTTAAAATCGGCCAACATCTCGAATTTAGAATTTTGCAATGCTAAAATCTTGAAATTGGCTAAAATCTTGAATTCAGGATTTTTGAAAGCTAAAACCTTGAAATAGGCCAAAATGTGGAATTTTGGATTTTGGAAAGCTAAAATCTTAAAATCGGCCAAAATCTTGAATTCAGGATTTTGGAAAGCTAAAATCTTGAAATCGGCCAAACTCTTGAATTCAGGATTATCGAAAGCTTAAATTTTGAAATCGGTTAAAATGTTCAATTTAAAATTTTGGAAAGCTAAAATCTTGAACTCGGCCAAAATATTGAATTCAGGATTTCGGAAAGCTAAAAGCTTGAAATGGGCAAACATCTTGTATTCACGATTTTGCAAAGCTAAAATCTTGAAATCGCCCAAAATCTTGAATTCAGGAATATGGAAACCTAAAATCTTGAAATCGGTTACAATGCTGAATTTAAGATATTGGAAAGCTAGAATCTGAAACGCGGCGAAAATTTTGAATTCAGGATTTTGGAAAGCTAAGATCTAGAAATCGGGAAAATCTGGAATTGAGGATTTTGGAAAGCTAAAATCTTGAACTCGGCCAAAATCTTCAATTCAGGATTTTGGAAAGCTTAAATCTTAAAATCTGCCAAAATCTTGAATTCTGGATTATGGAAAGCTAGAATATGGAAATGGGCCTAAATCTTGAATTCAGGATTTTATAAAGCTAAAATCTTAAAATCAACCAAAATCCTGAATTGAGGATTATGGAAAGCTGAAATCTTGAAATCGCCCAAAATCTTGAATTCAGGATTATGGAAAGCTAAAATGTTGAAATCGTTTAAAATGCTGAATTTAAGATTTGTGAAAGCTAAGATCTTGAACTCGGCCGAAATCTTGAAATCAGGATTGTGGAAAGCTAAAATCTTCAAATCGGTTAACTTCTGGTACTCAGGATTTTATCAAGCTAAAATCTTATAATGGGCCAAAATCTTGAATTCAGGAATATGGAAAGCTAAAATCTTGAAATCGGTTAAAATGGTGAATTTAAGATTTTGGAAAGCTAAAATCTTGAACTCGGAAAAAATCTTGAATTCAGCATTTTGGAAAGCTAAAATCTTCAAATCGGCCTAAAGCTGGAACTCAGGATTTTATAAAGCTAAAATCTTATAATGGGCCAAAATCTTAAATTCATTATTTTGGAAAGCTAAAATCTTAAAAACGGCAAAATCTAGAATTCAAGATTTTGGAAAGCTAAAACCTTAAAATTGGCCAAAATCAGGAATTCAGTATTTTGCAAACCTAAAATCTTAAAATCTTCAAAAATCTCGAAGTCAAAATTTTATAAAGCTAAAATCTTGTAATCGGCCAAAATCTTAAATTCATGATTATGGAAAGCTAAAATCTTCAATTCAGGATTTTGGAAAGCTAAAATCTTGAAATCGCCAAAAATCTTCAACTCAAAATTTTCGAACGCTAAAATCTTGAACTCGGGAAAAATCTTGAATTCAGGATTTTGGAAAGCTAAAATCTAGAAATCGACCAAAACCTTGATTTCAGGATTTTGGAAAGCTAAGATTTTGAAATCGCTCAAAATCTTGAATTCAAGATTTTGGAAAGCTAAAATCTTAAAATCTGCCAAAATTTTGAATGCAGGATTTTGAAAAGCTAAGATATTGAAATGGGCCAATATCTTGAATTCAGGAATTTAAACAGATAAAATCTTGAAATGAGCCAAAATTTTGAATACCGGATTTTCCAAAGCTAAAAACTTGAAATGGGCCAAAATCTGGAATTCAGGATTTTGGAAAGCTAAAATCTAGAAATCGGCAAAATCTTGATATGAGGATTTAGGAAAGCTAAAATCTTGAATTCAGCATTACGGAAAGGTAAAATCTTGAATTCAGGATTTTGGAAAGCTAAAATCTTGAAATCGGCCAAAATCTTGAATTCATGCTTTTGGAAAGCAAAAATCTTGAAATCGGCCAAAATCTTGAATTCAGGATTTTGGAAAGCTGAAATCTTGAACTCGACCAAAATCTTCAATTCAGGATTTTGGAAAGCTAAAATCTTGAGATCGGGCAAAATCTGGAATTGAGAATTTTATAAAGCTAAAATCTTGAAATGGTCCAAAACCTTCAATTTAGTATTTTGGAAAGCTAAAATCTTGAAATCGGCCAAACTCTTGAATTCAGGATTTTGGATAGCCAAAATCTAGAAATGGGCCTAAACTTTAAATTCAGGATTTTGCAAAGCTACGATCTTGAAATGGGCCAAAATATGGAATTCAGGATTTTAAAAGCTAATGTCTCTAAAACGGCCAACATCTTGAATTTAGAATTTTGCAATGCCAAAATCTTGAAATTGGCTAAAATCTTGAATTCAGGATTTTGGATAGCTAAAATCTTGAAATCGGACAAAATCTTGTATTCAGGATTTTGGAAAGCTAAAATCTTGAAATCGGCCAAAATCTGGAATTTTGGATTTTGGAAAGCTAAAATCTTAAAATCGGCCAAAATCTTGAATTCAGGATTTTGGAAAGCTAAAATCTTAAAATTGACCAAAATGAGGAATTCACGATTTTGGAAACCCAAAATCTTAAAATCGGCAAAAATCTCGAAGTCAGGATTTTATCAAGCTAAATTCTTGAAATCGCCCAAAATCTTCAATTCAAAATATTGGAACGCTAAAATCTTGAACTCGGGAAAAATCTTGAATTCAGGATTTTGCAAAGCTAAAATCTTGAAATCAGCCAAAATTTTGAATGCAGCATTTTCAAAAGCTAAGATATTGAAATGGGCCAAGATCTTGAATTCAGGAATTTGGAAAGCTAAAATCTTGAAATCAGCCAAAATTTGGAATTCAGGATTTTGGAAAGCTAAGATCTTGAAATGGGCAAAAACCTGGAATTCTGGATTTTGGAAACCTAAACTCTTGAAATCGGCCAAAATCTTGAATTCAGCATTACGGAAAGCTAAAATCTTGATATCGGCCAAAATCTTGAATTCAGGATTTTGGAAAGCTAAAATCTTGAAGTCGGCCAAAATCTTGAATTCAGGCTTTTGGAAAGCAAAAATGTTGAAATCGACCAAAATCTTGAATTCAGGGTTTTGCAAAGCTAAAATCTTGAACTCGGCCAAAATCTTCAATTCAGGATTTTGGAAAGCTAAAATCTTGAGATCGGGCAAAATCTGGAATTGAGGGTTTTATAAAGCTAAAATCTTGAAATGGGCCAAAACCTTCAATTTAGTATTTTGGAAAGCTAAAATCTTGAAATCGGCCAAACTCTTTATTTCAGGATTTTGGATAGCTAAAATCTAGAAATCGGCCTAAATTTTAAATTCAGGATATTGCAAAGCTACGATCTTGAAATGGGCCAAAATATGGAATTCAGGATTTTAAAAGCTAATTTCTTGAAAACGGCCAACATCTTGAATTTAGAATTTTGCAATGCTAAAATCTTGAAATTGGCTAAAATCTTGAATTCAGGATTTTCGAAAGCTAAAATCTTGAAATCGGGCAAAATCTTGAATTCAGGATTTTGGATAGCTAAAATCTTAAACTCGGCCAAAATATTGAATTCAGCATTTTGGAAGGCTAAAACCTTAAAATCGGCCAAAATTCTGAATTCACGATTTTGGAAAGCTAAAATCATGAAATCGCCCAAAATCTTGAATTCAGGATTATGGAAAGCAAAAATCTTGAAATCGGTTAAAATGCTGAATTTAAGATTTTAAAAAGCTAAAATCTTGAACTCGGCCAAAATCTTAAAGTCAGGATTTTGGAAAGCTAAAATCTTCAAATCGGCCAAAAACTGGAACTCAGGATTTTATAAAGCTAAAATCTTATAATGGGCCAAAATCTTAAATTCTTTATTTTGGAAAGCTAAAATCTTAAAATTGGCCAAAATCAGGAATTCAGGATTATGGAAACCCAAAATCTTAAAATCAGCAAAAATCTGGAAGTCAGGATTTTATCAAGCTAAAATCTTGTAATTGACCAAAATCTTAAATTTAGGATTATGGAAAGCTAAAATCATTAATTCAGGATTTTGGAAAGCTAAAATCTTGAAATGGGAAAAATCTTCAATTCAAAATTTTGGAACGCTAAAATCTTGAACTCGGCAAAAATCTTGAATTCTGGATTTTGGAAAGCTAAAATCTAGAAATCGGCCAAAACCTTGATTTCAGCATTTTGGAAAGCTAAGATTTTGAAATCGCTCAAAATCTTGAATTCAGGATTTTGGAAAGCTAAAATCTTGAAATCAGCCAAAATTTTGAATGCAGCATTTTGAAAAGCTAAGATATTGAAATGGGCCAAGATCTTGAATTCAGGAATTTGGAAAGCTAAAATCTTGAAATCAGCCAAAATTTTGAATTCAGGATTTTGGAAAGCTAAGATCTTGAAATGGGCAAAAATCTTCCATTCTGGATTTTGGAAACCTAAACTCTTGAAATCGGCCAAAATCTTCCATTCCGGATTTTCGAAAAATAAAATCTTGAAATCGGCCAAAATCTGGAATTGAGGATTTTGGAAAGCTAAAATCTTGAAATCGGCCAAAGTCTTTAATTCAGGATTTTGGAAAGCTAAAAACTTGAACTCGGCGAAAATCTTGAATTCAGCATTATGGAAAGGTAAAATCTGGAAATTGGCCAAAATCTTGAATTCTGCATTATGGAAAACTAAAATCTGGAAATGGGCCGAAATCTTGAATTCAGGATTTTGGAAACCTAAAATCTTGAAATGGGCCAAAATTTGGAATTCAGGAGTTTGGAAAGCTAACAACTTGAACTTCTCCAAAATCCTGAATTCAGCATTTTCGAAAGCTAAAATCTTAAACTCGGCCAGAATCTTGAATTCGGGATTTTGGAAAGCTAAAATCTTCAAATCCGCCAAAATCTTGAATTCAGGATTTTCGAAAGCTAAAACCTTGAAATCAGCCAAAATCTAAAATTTAGGATTTTATAAAGCTAAAACTTTAAATCGGCCAAAATCTTGAATCCAGGATTTTGGAAAGCTAAAATCTAGAAATCGGCCGAAATCTTGAATCTAGGATTTTGGAAAGCTAAAATCTTGAAATCAGCCAAAATCTTGAATTTAGGATTTTGCAAAGCTAAAATCTTGAAAAGGTCCAAATCTGGAATTCAGGATTTTGGAAACCTAAAATCTAGAAATCGGTAAAATCTTGAATTAAGTATTTAGGAAAGCTTAAATCTTGAACTCGGCCAAAACCTTAAATACAGGATTCCGGAAAGCTAAAATCTTGAAATCGGCCAAAATCTTGAATTCAGGATTTTGGAGAGCTAAGATCTTCAAATGGGCTAAAATCTTCAATAGAGGCTTTTGGAAAGCTAAAATCTTAAATTAGGCCAAAATCTTGAATTCAAAATTTTGGAAAGCTAAAATCTTGAAATCAGAAAAATCTTCAATTCAAAATTTTGCAACGCTAAAATCTTGATCTCGGCAAAAATCTTGAATTCAGGATTTTGGAAAGCTAAAATCTTGAAATGGGCCAAAACTTTGATTTCAGGATTTTGAAAAGCTAAGATTTTGAAATCGCTCAAAATCTTGAATTCAGGATTTTGGAAAGCTAAAATCTTGAAATCAGCCAAAATTTTCAATGCAGGATTTTGAAAAGCTAAGATATTGAAATGGGCCAAGATCTTGAATTCAGAAATTTTGAAAGCTAAAATCTTGAAATCAGCCAAAATTTAGAATTAAGGATTTTGGAAAGCTAAAATCTTCAAATCGGCCAACATCTGGTACTCTGGATTTTATAAAGCTATAATCTTCTAATGGGCCAAAATCTTAAATTCAGGATTATGGAAAGCTAAAATCTTGAAATCGGTTAAAATGCTGAATTTAAGATTTTGGAAAGCTAAAATCTTGAACTCGGCAAAAATCTTGAATTCAGCATTTTGGAAAGCTAAAATCTTCAAATCGGCCAAAAGCTGGAACTCAGGATTTTATAAAGCTAACATCTTATAATGAACCAAAATCTTAAATTCATTATTTTGGAAAGCTAAAATCTTGAAAACGGAAAAATCTTGAATTCAAGATTTTCGAAAGCTAAAATCTTAAAATTGGCCAAAATCAGGAATTCAGGTTTTTGGGAAACCTAAAATCTCAAAATCTGCCAAAATCTCGAAGTCAGGATTTTATAAAGCTAAAATCTTGTAATCGGCCAAAATCTTAAATTCATGATTATAAAAAGCTAAAATCTTGAATTCAGGTTTTTGGAAAGCTAAAATCTTGAAATCGCCAAAATCTTCAATTCAAAATTTTGGAACGCTATAATCTTGAACTCGGGAAAAATCTTGAATTCAGGATTTTGGAAAGCTAAAATCTAGAAATCGGCCAAAACCTTGATTTCAGGATTTTGGAAAGCTAAGATTTTGAAATCGCTCAAAATCTTGAATTCAGGATTTTGGAAAGCTAAAATCTTGAAATAAGCAAAAATTTTCAATGCAGGATTTTGAAAAGCTAAGATATTGAAATGGGCCAATATCTTGAATTCAGGAATTTAAACAGATAAAATCTTGAAATCTGCCAAAATTTTGAATTCAGGATTTTGCAAATCTAAAATCTTGAAATGGGCCAAAATCTGGAATTCAGGATTTTGGAAAGCTAAAATCTAGAAATCTGCAAAATCTTGAATTGAGGATTTAGGAATGCTAAAATCTTGAATTTGGCAAAAATCTTGAATTCAGCATTACGGAAAGCTAAAATCTTGATATCGGTTAAAATGCTGAATTTCAGCTCTTGGAAAGCTAAAATATTGCACTCGGCCAAAATTTTGAATTCAGGATTTTGGAAAGCTAAAACCTTAAAATCGGCCAAAATCCTGAATTTACGATTTTGGAAAGCTAAAATCTTAAAATCGCCCAAAATCTTGAATTCAGGATTATGAAAAGCTGAAATCTTGAAATCGGTTAAAATGCTGCATTTAAGATCTTGGAAAGCTAAAATCTTGAACTCGGCTTAAATCTTGAATTCAGGATTTTGGAAAGCTAAAATCTTCAAATCGCCCAAAATCTGAAACTCAGGATTTTATAAAGCTAAAATCTTATAATGGGCCAAAATCTTGAATTTCTAATTTTGGAAAGCTAAAATCTTGAAAACGGCAAATTCTTGAATTCAAGATTTTGGTAAAGTAAAATCCTATAATCGGCCAAAATCTGGAATTCGCGATTTTGGAAAGCTAAAATCTTGAAATCATCTAAAATCTTGAACTCAGGATTTAGGAAAGCTAAAATCCTGAAGTCGGCCAAAATCTTCAATTCAGGATTTTGGAAAGCTAAAATCTTAAAATCGGCCATAATCTTGAATTCTGGATTATGGAAAGCTAGAATGTGGAAATGGGCCTAAATCTTGAATTCAGGATTTTGGAAACCCAAACTCTTGAAATCGGCCAAAATCTTCCATTCCGGATTTTCGAAAAATAAAATCTTGAAATCGGCCAAAATCTGGAATTCAGGATTCAGGAAAGCCAAAATCTTCAAATCGGCCAAAACCTGGAATTGAGGATTCTGGAAAGCTAAAATCTTGAAATCGGCCAAAGTCTTTAATTTAGGATTTTGGAAAGCTAAAATCTTGAACTCGGCGAAAATCTTGAATTCAGCATTATGGAAAGGTAAAATCTGGAAATTGGCCAAAATCTTGAATTCTCAATTATGGAAAGCTAAAATCTGGAAATGGGCCAAAATTTGGAATTCAGGACTTTGGAAAGCTAACAACTTGAACTTCTCCAAAATCCTGAATTCAGCATTTTCGAAAGCTAAAATCTTAAACTCGGCCAGAATCTTGAAATCGGGATTTTGGAAAGCTAAAATCTTCAAATCCGCCAAAATCTTGAATTCAGGATTTTCGAAAGCTAAAACCTTGAAATCAGCCAAAGTCTAAAATTCAGGATTTTATAAAGCTAAAACTTTAAATCGGCCAAAATCTTGAATCCAGGACTTTGGAAAGCTAAAATCTTGAAATCGGCCAAAATCTTGAATCTAGGATTTTGGAAAGCTAAAATCTTGAAATCAGCCAAAATCTTGAATTTAGGATTTTGCAAAGCTAAAATCTTGAAAAGGTCCAAATCTGGAATTCAGGATTTTGGAAACCTAAAATCTAGAAATCGGCAAAATCTTGAATTAAGTATTTAGGAAAGCTTAAATCTTGAACTCGGCCAAAATCTTAAATACAGGATTCCGGAAAGCTAAAATCTTGAAATCGGCCAAAATCTTGAATTCAGGATTTTGGAGAGCTAAGATCTTCAAATGGGCTAAAATCTTCAATAGAGGCTTTTGGAAAGCTAAAATCTTAAATTAGGCCAAAATCTTGAATTCAACATTTTGGAAAGCTAAAATCTTGAAATCATCTAAAATCTTGAAGTCAGGATTTTGGAAAGCTAAAATCTTGAAGTCGGCCAAAATCTTCAATTCAGGATTTTGGAAAGCTAAAATCTTAAAATCGGCCAAAATCTTCAATTCTGGATTATGGAAAGCTTGAATGTGGAAAAGGGCCTAAATCTTGAATTCAGGGTTTTGAAAGCTAGAATCTTGAAATCGGCCAAAATCTTGAATTCTGGATTTTGGAAAGCAAAAATCTTCAACTTGGCCAACCTCTGGAATTCAGGAATTTGGAAAGCTAAAACCTTGAAATCGGCCAAAATGTGGAAGTCAGGATTTCATAAAACTAAAATCTTAAAATCAACCAAAATCCTGAATTCAGGATTTTGGAAAGCTCAAATCTTGAAATGCGCCAAAATCTTGAATTCAGGATTTTTTAAAGCTAAAATCTAGAAATCGGCCAAAATTTTGTATTCAGGATTTTTGAAAGCTTTTTTATAGAACTCGACCAAAATCTGGAATTCAGGATTTTGGAAAGCTAAAATCTTAAAATCGGCCAAAATCTTGAATTCAGGATTTTAGAAAGCTATAATCTTAAATTCAGGATTTCTGAAAGCTAAAATCTTGAACTCGGCCAAAATATTGAATTCAGGATTTCGGAAAGCTAAAACCTTGAAATCGGCCAAAATCTTGAATTCACGATTTTGGAAAGCTAAAATCTTGAAATGAGCCAAAATCTGAAATTCAGGATTTTATAAAGCAAAAACTTTAAATCGGCCAAAATCTTGAATCCAGGATTTTGGAAAGATAAAATCTTGAAATGAGCCAAAATCTTGAATTCACGATTTTGCAAAGCTAAAATCTTGAAATGGGCCAAATCTGGAATTCAGGATTTTGGAAAGCTAAAACCTAGAAATCGGCAAAATCTTGAATTAAGGATTTAGGAAAGCTTAAATCTTGATCTCGGCAAAAAACTTGAATTCAGGATTCCGGAAAGCTAAAATCTTGAATTCAGGATTTTGGAGAGCTAAGATCTTCAAATGAGCTAAAATCTTCAATAGAGGATTTTGGAAAGATAAAATCTTAAATGAGGTGAAAATCTTGAATTATGGATTTTGTACAACTAAAATCTTGAAATTGGCCAAAATCTTGAATTCTGCATTATGGAAAGCTAAAATCTGGAAATGGGCCAAAATCTTGAATTCAGGATTTTGGAAACCTAAAATCTTGAAATGGGCCAAAATTTGAAATTCAGGATTTTGGAAAGCTAACAACTTGAAGTTGGCCAAAATCTTGAGTTCAAGATTTTGGAAAGCTAAAACCTTGAAATCGGCAAAAATCTGGAATTCAGGATTTTATAAAGCTAAAATCTTGAAATGGGCCAAAATCTTAAATTCAGGATTTTGGAAAGCTAAAATCTTCAAATCTTAAAAAAACTTAAATTCAGGATTTTGGAAAGCTAAAATCTTGAGATCAGCCAAAATTTTGAATTCAGGATTTTGGAAAGCTAAGATCTTAAAATGGGCCAAAATCTACAATTCTGGATTTTGGAAAGCTAAAATCGTGAAATCAGCCAAAAGCTGGAACTCAGGATTTTATAAAGCTAAAATCTTATAATGGGCCAAAATCTTAAATTCATTATTTTGGAAAGCTAAAATCTTGAAAACAAGAAAATCTTTAACTCAAGATTTTGGAAAGCTAAAATCTTAAAATTGGCCAAAATCAGGAATTCAGGATTTTGGAAACCTAAAATCTTGAAATGGGCAAAAACCGCGAAGTAAGGATTTTATCAAGCTAAAATCTTGTAATCGGCCAACATCTTAAATTCAGGATTATGGAAAGCTAAAATCTTGAATTCAGGATTTTCGAAAGCTAAAATCTTGAAATGGGAAAAATCTTCAATTCGAAATTTTGGAACGCTAAAATCTTGAACTCGGCAAAAATCTTGAATTCAGGATTTTGGAAAGCTAAAATCTAGAAATCGGCCAAAACCTTGATTTCAGGACTCTGGAAAGCTAAAATCTTCAAATCGGCCAAAATCTTGAATTTTGGATTTTGGAAAGCTAAAATCTTGAAATCGGCCATTTCAAATTGCTCAAAATCTTGAATTCAGGATTTTGGAAAACAAGAATCTTCAAATCTTAAAAGAACTTAAACTCAGGATTTTGGAAAGCTAAAATCTTGAAATCACCCAAAATTTTGAATTTAGGATTTTGGAAAGCTAAGATCTTAGAATGGGCCAAAATCTAGAATTCTTGATTTTGGAAAGCTAAAATCTTGAAAGCGGCTAAATTCTTGAATTCAGCATTTTTGAAAGCTAAAATCTTGAAATCGGCCAAAAACTGGAATTCAGGACTCTGGAAAGCTAAAATCTTCAAATCGGCCAAAAATCTTGAATTTTGGATTTTGAGAAACTAAAATCTTGAAACGGCCAAAATCTTGAATTCCGGATTTTGGAAAGCTAAGATCTTAAAATGGGCCAAAATCTACAATTCTGGATTTTGGAAAGCTAAAATCTTGAAATCGGCCAAATTCTTGAATTCCGGATTTTGGAAAGCTAAAATCTTGAACTCGGCCAAAACCTTGAATTCTGGATTTTGGAAAGTTAAAATCGTAAAATCGGCCAAAATCTGGAATTGAGGATTTTGGAAAGCTGAAATCTTCAAATCGGCAAAAATTTCGAATTTAGGATTTTGGAAAGGTAAAATATTGAAATCGGCCAAAATTCTTGAATTGAGGATTTTAAAATCTTCAAATCGGACAAAATCTTAAAGTCAGGATTTTAGAAAGTTAAAATCTTGAGATCGGCCGAAATCTTAAATTCAAGATTTTCGAAAGCTAAACAAAAATATGGAATTCAGGAGTTTGAAAGCTAAAATCTTGAAATCGGCCAACATCTTGAATTTAGAATTTTGCAATGCTAAAATCTTGAAATTGGCTAAAATCTTGAATTCAGGATTTTTGACAGCTAAAATCTTGAAATCGGGCAAAATCTTGAATTCAGGATTTTTAAAAGCTAAAATCTTGAAATCGGCCAAAATCTTGAATTCAGGATTATGGAAAGCTAAAATATTGAAATCGGTTAAAATGTTGAATTTAAGATTTTGGAAAGCTTAAATCTTGAACTCGGCAAAAAAATTGAATTCAGGATTTCGGAAAGCTAAAACCTTGAAATCGGCCAAAATCTTGAATTCACGATTTTGGAAAGCTAAAATCTTTAAATCGGCCAAAATCTGGAACTCAGGATTTTACAAAGCTAAAATCTTATAATGGGCAAAAATCTTGAATTCAGGATTATGGAAACTTGAATCTTGAAATCGGTTAAAATGGTGAATTTAAGATTTCTGAAAGCTAAAATCTTGAACTCGGCAAAAATCTTGAATTCAGCATTTTGGAAAGCTAAAATCTTGCAATCGGCCAAAAGCTCGAACTCAGGATTTTATAAAGCTAAATCTTTATAATGCGCCAAAATCTTAAATTCATTATTTTGGAAAGCTAAAATCTTAAAATTGGCCAAAATCAGGAATTCAGGATTTTGGAAACCTAAAATCTTAAAATCGGCAAAAATCTCGAAGTCAGGATTTTATCAATCTAAAATCTTGTAATGGGCCAAAATCTTAAATTCAGTATTGTTGAAAGCTAAAATCTTGAATTCAGGATTTTGGAAAGCTAAAACGTTGAAATGTGCCAAGATCTTAAATTCAGGATTATGGAAAGCTAAAATCTTCAAATCCGCGAAAATCTTGAATTCAGGGTTATGGAAACCTAAAATCTTGAAATGGGCCAAAATTTGAAATTCAGGATTTTGGAAAGCTAACAACTTGAAGTTGGCCAAAATCTTGAGTTCAGGATTTTGGAAAGCTAAAACCTTGAAATCGGCAAAAATCTGGAATTCAGGATTTAATAAAGCTAAAATCTTGAAATGGGCCAAAATCTTTAATTCAGGATTTTGGAAAGCTAAAATGTTCAAATCTTAAAAAAACTTAAATTCAGGATTTTGGAAAGCTA